TGGTCGGGAATAATTGAGAAGTTTCAAAAAAGACTAGCAACATGGCAAATGCAGTATCTTTCTTTTGGAGGAAGAGTTACATTGATTATTAGTGTACTGGACAACATCCCTACATATCATATATCCCTTTTCCCTATTCCAGTAAAAGTTCTCAAAAAGCTCGACAAAATGAGAAGGAATTTTCTATGGGTAGGCAACAACAAGGATCATAAGTTTCACTTGGTTAAATGGGCAAAAGTGAAACAACCTAAATCTTAAGGGGGTTTGGGTATCAAAGATCTTGCAGCTCACAATAAAAGCATGATGATGAAATGGTTATGGAGGTACGGAACTGAAGACTTTGGATTGTTGAAAGAGGTGATCAAAGCTAAACATGGTGAGCTTAAGCTTACTCACTGGTCCACAAAAGTCTCAGCAGATGCATATGGAAGCTTACTCACTGGTCCACAAAAGTCTCAGCAGATGCATATGGAAAAGCATCAGTAAACTTTGGCCAGATTTTGCTGGGAACGTCACATTTAGAGTTGGCAATGGATTTCACATCAAATTTTGGAAGGATATATGGTTCGGAGACACAATTTTGGGTGAGGAATTTCCAAGTTTGCACCTCATTGCAGCTGAACCAAATTCTACCATAGCATCCAACAGATCATATGACATTTGGGACCTAAGGTTCAGGAGAAACCTAAATGACTGGGAACTTAATGACATATTTGCCCTCTTTGCCAAATTGCAGTCTTGCTCCTTTTCGCCTCAAGAGCTTGATAGATTGAAATGGGGTAACTCAAGAAAAGGTCACTACACAGTCAAGGAAGGGTATCACAACTTAATCTCAAGGAACTCAATGATTGACAAATGGCCATAGACGCATATATGGAAGACAAAATTACCTACCAAAGTGATCTGTCTTAGCTGGAATGCACTGCATAGCTCAGGCCTCACACAGGATAATCTCTCCAAAAGGAAATTCCAGCTTGCTAACCAATGCTATTTCTGCCACAAGCACACAGAAAGTGTCAACCACTTGCTACTGCACTGACCAACTGCCTCAGACCTCTGGAATATGTTTTGTTGCTTTTTTGGTCTTTCGTGGCTCATGCCTTTTTCTGTTAGGGATGCTCTTGAAAGTTGGAGTTCACGGGAAGTTGACAAAGCCATCAAGAGTATGTCGATGATGATCCCTGGTTCTATCTTTTGGTGTTTATGGACAGAGAGGAACAAAAAATGTTTTGATGGAATTTTAACTTCTAGAAATCTTTTGCGAGGTAGATGTCTAGTTAGCCTTTTTAGTTGGTCCAAATTGACCCCTGTAAATAATTTAGAACTCTTCCTGGATTTTGTTTCCTCTATAGCTTAGAAAGAGGCTACAAATCCTTTTTTTTGTGAGCTTAACTGATCTATCCTTGTAAAGCTTGCATCTTCTTGATGCCTTTGAATGAATCTACTTACTTCATCAAAAAAAAGAAAAGAAAAGGATGATCGGTAGAGCAATGAAATTTCACCAATGTGTTGCAAGAAAGTAGAGTCTGATAAATCTACCAACATGTTGATTTTTGAGATGTGAAACAAAATAATATCGACCTACCCCATTAAAACTTGATAAATTGAACAGGTTACATTTATATAGATCAAATTTGATACTTCTAAATGTGGCTATATCTAATTATGAAAATGCATAACATTCTCCCGCTGAATTTTACTGTACAAAAATACTAACAATCGACTTTTAGCTTTTGAAAAAAGATATATCTATTGATAGAGTAGACCAAGATGTTCATGAACTCCTTTGAAAGCTCTTACACAATTCCAGTCAAATAAATATAACTCTTACGATAAGTTAGTATGTGAATGAAACAGATGCAACTAAGGCTTGAATAATAGCTAAAAAGTAAACAATTGGCAAGAAATAACACTCCCTTCCCCTAATATCCTTAAGCAAAGATCAGTATTGAAATTGATTAAGATTAGGGGCTATTAGAAGCTCGCTCACTATGCCTAATTTAAGCGTACGTCTCTGCTCTGATATGTCGTTTTAGGCTCGACCTTGTCTTGTTACATTTTTTAAAATTAAAGGTGGGTTGCTGCCCATTTATCCATAAAAAAAAACTCAATCTGTATTTACAAACTAGGCCAAATCTATAGACCCTGCTAAAACCAAAAAAAAAAAAGGAAGCAACTAAACAAAAACTAGATAACATCTGGACCAAAACTCCTTTTCTTGTTACATCACCTTTAATTTATTCATTCTCATATACAGAGATTTGTAACTTGTTTTCTATCATACTAGTGGGAACTTTATGCTATAACCTTTTGAAGCAAAAATGCCTGAAAATATAGACAATAGTCCGAAAAACAAAGGTAGGTTCTTGGTTTAGCTGCAACAATGTTTGGATTGAACAAAACAAAGGATACTCTTCTTCTCACCTTCTCTCATATGAACCTGTTGGTTTTACTTAACAAATAAGAGGACTGAACATTTCATACAGTAAATTGTGGACAAAACCAATGTTAAAAAAAATAGGAGAGGTTTGGGGAAGGACCAAAAGTGCACCAATATTGCAAATATGAGGGACTATTGTTTGCCGAGTTCATTCATGAAAAAAAAAGCAAATTCAAGGTCTGTCAAATCTAAAGTCAAATTTGTAGGTTTTCTTTATTGTGTATATTTGGTCAACTGAATGCACACTACTTGGACTCAGATTTGATGTTAAGAAAATCATTTGGCCTGTTGATAAATGAAATTGAAGAGTTTTTTTTGCTACTGTAAGACTTCTACATTGCTAATAAAGGACTGCTATGTGCACTGTTGCATTTGCAGACTTTATGGGGCCGTTTGGTAGAGTGTATAAGAATAATGCTAAATAGAGTGTATTAATAATGCTTGTATTAAATAGAGTGTATTAATAATGCAGTGAGTTGGTTCTCCACTTTTTTTTTTTCAGTAAGATCATTTGACTGACTGAACAATCTTAGTTGGAGATATGAGTTTTTCTTGCTACAGAATAGGTATTCAGCCACTCCTTGTTGAATAATGAATAATTCTGGATAACGAACAATATAATTTTCTTTTGCTACTCATGAAATGCCTGATATAACGTTAAGTTCTCTTTGGCTGAAAATTCTCTTCCTTCAAAATTGATACCTATATATATTACTTTGTCCTCATTGGTGTTTCCAAGTTCAGTAACTTTTGAAAATAAAACTAGAATTTGAATATTTGTAACTTCGTGTTGAACTTGAAACATATATCCTCCGCAAACAATTATCTTTGATTTTCTTGCTTCTAATTTTTTACTTTAGCACAATGATTTTTCAGTGGTTATCATCTTCTTATTCATAGTTGAAGATAGATGTGGTAAATGAGGTGTATGTGCCAATTTTTTATGGTTACTTGTAATTTTAATTTTGTCAATTCTTTCCATCCTTTATGCTTAGACTCATATGAAGGGAATTGCTCAAGCATTTTGATATACTTCTCTCATTAAGAAAATAAAATAAAATCTCAAAATTTGACTAAACATGCTGGAATTAATGACAAATCGTATTCTTGATAAAGGTGATTTAACGAATTAAGAACGAATGATCAGACTTTTAAAGTCAATTCATTATTTTACAAGTTGGGATAAAGTTATATGCTACGAGTGAGGCATGACTTTTCAAGAAAGAGTATTTATACCCTAGTGTAAAGACTGCATGACCTTCTGCAGTTTAAGTGGAAGAACAAAATTCATAAAAAGAGTTCATAGCATATATAATCTTCGTGATCGAGTCAAGCCAGGGCTCTCTCCTTAATAAGAATTTTAACTAACTTATTAATTTTATATTTTTATTTAATTTTATTTTATGTATAAAATATTTATAAAATAATACTTGATTTTTACATTGATAAATTTTGACTTAAGATATAAACTACACTTCAAATGAAAAAGTAAGCTTCTTAAAGAGAATTTATAAGTTTTGTTGCAAGGCCAGCGAAGGAGGAATTTTTTATTTTTGGGGAAGTATGGATCTTTCGAGTGCTTGATTTTGTTTTTAATTGGATTATATGCATATTCATTGTTTTATCTGCACTTATTTTCACAATTATGATCGATATATGCCCATTTTCTTTTGGATCATCTTGATTTCTTTTAGAGGTTATTCATGACTTTGCTTTTCATCTATCAAGTAATAGCATTCTTGATTTGTTTGTGGGTGATGCTTGATACTCCTCTTCAAACATTAGTGGTTCAAGAAAGTTATTTTCAAGAAGAAAAAAACTAAGATGCATGTGGGAAGGAAATTTATATTATTTAATCAGATCAAGTTTAGAATTTCTTATTAGTTGAATGATTTTGTTTACAAAAACTTGTCCATTTGCGGAAAGTAAAGATAATATGGCTTGCCACAATTCTGTCTCTACACAATTAGAACATTCTTTTGTTTCTGTACTGTGCAAAATGATTTGATACATTAAATTCCAGATGCTATTATTATCAAGGTGTATATATATCATTACCTTTCCAACACCAAAGTTGTGTTGCTAATCCAGAGATCTACAAAGTTTTAATTTTATGTATGTGAATTCTTGCTGGTGTGTTGTTTTCTGTTTCTTTTAAAGGGATGATATCTCATTTTAGTCGTAACACGAAAAATATGATATCTTTAACCCCGTCATTTCAATATCATTGGTCAGTTTATCTAATAGCGCATGAAAACCAATTACTAGAGTATAATTGACTTCATGTTGATGCTTACTAATTACTAGAATATAATTGACTTCATGTTGGGCCTGTGCAAAGCACGGGCATGTCTATCTAGTATATATATATAATTTTACGTCCGCCGCCCTTGCCTACACTTTACCTTTCCTAAATCCCACTTGTGGAATGCCACTAATATGTTGTTGTATACCAAATTCAATTAACAAGTGACTTCCAAACAGCCCTCAGAAATAATAGAAAATCAGAAAGAAAAATCAGCTTTCTACATGGAATAGACGATGGTAACCCGCCGTCTGCCGATACCAACCACCAACCCATCATGTCCGTTCAGAGATTCTTCCAGCATCGCCGTTACTCTCGTAATTCGCCAGGAATCTACTTTCTCCACAATTTCACTTCTTCAGATTCTCACAATAAACCCTCAAACCCTTCCGATCACTACCGCCACCACAACCATGGGAACAGCTGGTATGTCCACATTTTGAACTCGTTTTTACCATCAAAGCCACAATGTGTTATCCCGCACAGTGTTTCCTTCTGCCGTTCCTTCTCCACTCGCGACTCGCGAATTGGTGACATCAGTGACTCGGCGGTTACTCAGTATGAGAACACGGAGTTGTTTATCAGCGAAAATATTACTGAAAGTGTTGAGGAGTCCATTCTTCCAGTACGCGCCTTGATTTCGTTGTTGGATGGTTATCATGACCTCACTGGCTTCCCTTGGTAACATACTGCATTCCTTCCAAATATTTTGTTAAGCACCTTTATATATGTTTATTTGATTTTCAGAAATTCTAATCTTTTTTCTGGTACTTTAAAAATTCCTAGTTTCGTTGTAAAATTGAAATGTAGTTCTAAAAAATGGCTTTGATAATTGATTCAGTAAGGTGAAAAGAGCCATGGTACACAACTTGAAATCCATATGCAGAAGTTAAGCAAACAATGCAGAAAATTATAGCTTGTGAATTGTAATATATGGTGGAAAATAACTGCTCTGTCCTTACCTTGCAAAAAAAAAAAGAGTTTCATTTATATGAATTACAAGGGCTGTTAGTTACTTAGGGGAGGCAGCTCTAGCTGCAAACAATGGGGGAAGAAGCTACTTGGAAGTATTTCATAAAAGTAAATGGACCCAAAATGGAAACAGAGGTAAATGATGATGCTGAGTTGTTGAAGGCTCTTGCCCACCTTGCAGATAAGGACCTCCTTGGAAGGTATCTAGTTGGGAAACAACTCAATTATGTACTACACTGATACCAATCAAAAATGCATTCTGTAGTTCACTGTTTTAGACCCACTCCTCCCTTCACTAAATTACCCACAAGGATCGGCCAGTTTTTAATGTCTTAATTTAGTATTTTCTTTTTCTAATTTTTATCCAATGCTAGTATATGGGCTCTTGATTTTGAAATCATACACTGTACTTACTTGGTTTGCAGGTGGATCATTATAGCTTCTTCAGCAGTGGCAATGAGGCTTACGTTATTCCCGTTTGTAATATTGCAACTCCACAAGTTGAAGAGAATTTTAGAGTTACTTCCTAAATGTGAGGCTTTGTTTTCAGCACCATTAATTTCCCTTTATCTGATGCTAATTTTGGAACTCAAAAAGTAGGATGGAGTGAAAGAGGGGAACGAGTACGTGGACCTCTTTTCCCTTTGGTTGAAATTTCGGAGAAAAAATATTTAAAGCCCCTGTTGTCCATACAAATTATTTCATTATCTCAACTTCAATTTGAGATGTTAATTGTCCATAAATGTCTGTTTTACAATTTGGTCCATTATTTTTAACTTCAACTTGAAATAGAGAATTTGAAGTCAAAAAACTGGTTTGAGGAGTATCTCAAGTGAAAAAATGGTTTTTACTCTCTAAACTTCAATATTGTTTCCAAGTGAAATTATGTCCAAACACAACTAACTTCCCAATACTCTTTTCAATTTCAACTTTTAGTACTCTTTATCTTTCAACCTCAATCAAGTATTGTCCACGTGCCTATTTAGAGTATTAAAATCTTCAAAGGAGATGCTCTCATATTTGGATTAGACAATTTTTTCGGTCTTCCTATTTACAAAATTAACTTGGTAGGATGCTGAGTGATTTTGTCACTAGAAGATGACAAATAAGATTCTGTTTCTTTTCCCTATCATTTCTGGCCAAGATTCACAAAACTATATAAATTTTACGTTTATCTTCAGTTCTACTTCTTTCCCTCCAAGTGCTTTAGTATGTATTCACCCTAGAGTAGAGTTGGCTATGGCTTCATTTAATCATTTCATGTTTCTTGAGGTGCTCTTCTTTAAAATGAAACTTACACATGTTCACAAGAGGATGGCGTAGTGGTTGAGGCATGGGAACAACAACGTGGTCTGGACACACCAGGTTCGAATCCCAGCTACAATACTTGGTATGTCCCATCTGGTTCAGCCGTGATGGGCATAAATTGGGAAACCTACGCTTGTGATCCAGCCAAGTTGCCCTGTAGATCAGTTGAGGAGGTGCTCTCAAGCTAGCCCACACACTACTGATTAAAAAAGACCGGAAAAAAAGAACCAGGATAACTTTCCTGATGCTGCTATTTTCTTTGTTCTGTAAAGAATCTATCTTTTAATGACATCTCCATCCTAAAAAATATAGATGAAAAAGAAAGAGTGAAGAGACTAGCCTCAATGAGTTGTTTGAGACGGGGGACATAGTATTTTACCTCTTAATAGAGATGTGTGCACACCAGAAGCCATTACTTTTTAACTGATCTTTTTATGCATTTTTAAGTGCCTCCTCCATTGCCTCCGCCTATGTCAAGAAGGAGTTTTAGGGACCAACTTAAAATATTTTTCAAGGAGAAACGAGCGGCAGGCTGTCCTTCATTTTTCTGGTACTTCGCCACTCTGACAGTTCAGGTATAATCCTATATAATTTATTATATCAAGTTTATTTGCCTTAGAAGACTTTCCATATGTAGTAGATAATTGACTATTTTTCATTATACATTGTAGAACACTGAGTTGTCGTTTGGTATGGAGTATTAGAAGAAATAATCCATGTATTATGTATGGTATTGTTTTGTATTGTGTTTGGTAGGATTTTAGACCTATGTATAACTAATCCATGGATTAGTTTACACCCTACATGGTATTATAGGATGTATAGCTAATACCTTCCATTTGGTGGTATTAGTAATACATATGATTTAATACCATGTGATTAAAATATGTAAAGACAAAAATACCCCTCAAATCCTTTTAATCATTATTTTTATTTTCTTAATTTTATGTTTTATATTTTTAGTTTGTACTAGTAAATTTATTTAAATAAATTAGCTTACAAATTTAATTATTTAGAGAGAGTTGTTTGTTGCTAAATAATTAATATATTGTAAATTAGTTAAATAATTAAGTAGTGTTATTTTACTGGAGTAACGCATTCAAATTGATCATCATAAGGAGGATATTACATCATTAAAAAAAATCTCTTCTTTTGATTTGTAATAATATTTAATCAAACTTGGCAACAACATTATCTCCTCTTATGTTAGCCTACCTAGTTTAAAAAAATTGGTAGAAAAGCATCTATCATTTTTTTCCTAGTAAAAGCACCGATGATGATACATTATAAATTTTAAATATATAGTAGAAAAACACTTATAAAAGTTGAGTGAACTTTTAAGATATTAACTCCATATTAAAACTACAATTTGCAACTTTTATGTGTAAATGTAGATGATTTATTCAATCTTACTATTGTTTACCGTCTTTTCGATTTTATAAGTAGATGGTATATTTTTATTAAATTGAAAATTAACATTTTGTGAGTAATCAATTTATTAAGATAAAAATTATTTACCCTCAAATAATTCAAGTGAGAAAATAACAAACATGACGACAAAATTGTTCTTCTCCTAGCTAGTTAGAAGGCCCAAAAAAAATAAAAATTGTCCGGCAATATTAATTTACCTTGACCCAATTACATGAAATGGAAAATCTCATAATGATTCAAGGGTATAATTGAAAAGAAGCATTTTGTAGAGTTTAATCCAAACACAAGATGGGGTGGAAGCAATGAACTAAACACTTGATAAAAAATAAACCGTGTATTACTAATCCCTACATTATTAATCCCTGCATTGCTAATCCGGTGTTATTAATCCCTGCGTTATTTATCTTCATGCCAAACGACCCTCGAGGAAATTGCTACTTTTATTGGGAAGCATGTGTAGCAAAACAAAACTTTGAAAGTCATTATGTTTTAGAATTCATTATTTGCCTATTCAATATGATAGGAGTTAGACTACAATAAGTTATAGTTCTTTTTCCTTGTGTGTTTGCTTTATTTTTAGTCTTTGATGAACACTTCACACAAAAAAAGTAGATGCATTGATGTTGTTTTTATTGTCACACAGTCGAAGCTTTTGAAATCTCCGCATGAAATTTGGTACTTTATTGATGAAAGTAGGATGTTGTAGTGTAATTTTGTCATCTTGGTCATGATCTTTATTCAATTTTAGGTGCCCTGCTTTTTCCTTTGGATTACGACTATTACAAGAATGTCACTGTATCATCATGAAGGCTTTGATTGTGTAAGAGCACCCTTTTTCATTTATGCAATGCTTGTGCAGGATTGATTTTCTTTTTGGTATTACAAGTCTTCTCTTTCTCCCCTTAATTGCTTAGTTTGGTTTTGTATCATCATCTTTTACAAGGCTCAATTGATACACCTAGTGAATATCTGACTCTATAAGCATTGTTGATGCATATAAATGCTAGTGAAAGCTGACTGTATAAGCATTATTGATGCATATAACATGCGATTCGACAACATAGCGGTGAAACTAATATGGTAATTCTCAAGTAAGTGAGGCACACAATATATGCAACATAACTAGTAAATAGTTTGCTTGCCTTGTTTTTTCCTCTTCTTGTTGTTGCATCCCTTCGTCGTATCTCCTCCTGCAAACAAAGAGCGCATTTGACACACATCCAATGAGATTTCCGTAATTTTAGAGGTATCCCAAATGGTTTTCAAATTCAAAAAGTCTCTTATTCTCTTAATCATATCATGAACCATATTTTTATCGCTTGGACAAGCCTCTTTGTCCCTCTTGACCATTTAATCAATCAACTATGCCCTAAACCAGACTATTAGTTCGGTTATATTCTCCATATTCATTCCAGTTTATTCAAACAATTTATTAGGAGATTTGTCATAATTAGATTATTATTACATTAGTTGTCAACCAACCACTGACTTGAGTTATACTTTGCAAACAAGGATTCTTTTAAAGTCACCCGAGATGGCTTTTTCTGATGAAGTTAACTATATTGATGTAAGGGGGAAAGCCCAAATACAAGTTCTTCCACAAAAACATGATTATTTGCTAAGAGCATCCAGTATTGGAATATCATTTATGATCTAGAAGTGCACATAACAGAAATGTTCCACTAATCTGGACAAAGTGATCTTAGCTCCATATAACAGCCAATGGGATTATGTTCCATGCTCTCGTTCACACTTCCGTATTACCTTCCAACTCACATTTAGTACAATAATTTTCAGCAGTTCTTCAAAATATTGTACAAGGTACTTCCGATTTGTGTCTATTCCTTCCCTTTAGTAGGTATTTCTTTTGGACCAACTAGCTTTTTTAGTTGTATCCCCCTGTGAATTGGAGTGTGTAATTATACCTTGCCAATTACACCCAATTACCTGATGACCAGGTAATTACATGGCCAACCAAACAGGACAGACAATGTAATTACACCCAATTACACCAGATCCAATTACCAGGGTGGCTTTCCAAAGAGGCCCTTATGGTTTGTAAATTATGTTATTAGAGTCCTATGTGACTTGAATTTAGGAGATAGTTTTTTGTTTGTTATTTGAATTTTACTGATAAGTTTTCAAACATGTTTTTCTAATTTTAGTTAGAAATTATATTTATAAATGTATGTCTCTGAGTCATTAATAAAATAGTTCCCTTTGACAATACTACAATATTTTTTCTTTCAAAGTTTTTCTTTGTTATTTTCTTAATTTCTTTATTAATAAACCAATAACTTTCACCAAACTGTCAGATGTTAAAGGTCATGTAATGCTTCTATTATAACATTGATCACTTAAGTGAAAGGCGCTATAAGACACTAAGGGGTCGTTCGTTAGCTGGATAAGAAATAAGTTATCCATTATATTAATTTTCATAGATCTTTTATACAACGTTTGATAGGTAGATAGGAATTAAGTTATTCATGTATAAAATAAATTTGATGTTCGGTTGACAATTTAGAAATCTCCATAACTAATACGTGTATAGGTTATGTGGAAATCAATGTATTATTTTATGCAAGATTAAAGGTGGAATAACTAATATAGTTATGCACCCAAGGGTGTGGCCTAGTGATCAATGAAGTGGTTGAGAGTCATGAGGTCTCAGGTTCAAATTCTAGCGTAGACAAAAATACTAGGTGATTCTTCCCATTTGTTTTAGCGTTGGTGGACAGAGTTACGTGGTACCTATTCTTGGTAGGAGGTAACATGTATCCTGTTGGATTTGAGCACAAAATTTGAGGTAACACATATTCTATTATTCAATGCCTGCAAAGCTTTTGGGGTCAACCTAGTTGGATTTGAGCTTAGTACAAGAATCAACAAAGTTATGGATGATCTTTTGATAGCAAAACATGCTACTAAGGGAAGGGTGGGTATTGTCTCAAATTGCAAAGAACAAGATCCTACAATTAAAACTAGATTCAGAGGCCAACACAAGCAGAGGAAACTTCATGGAGACAAAAATCTAGGTGTTTGTGGTTGAAGGAAGGAGATAGAAACACTAAGTACTTCCAAAGGCTAGCCAACTCTCATAGGAGGTACAATCACATTGACAGGTTACAGGTTGGTGATAACTTGATTGAAAGGAAAGAGCAGGTGAAAGAAGTAATGCAGAAAATGAACCTGGGAAGCCCACAACTTCTTTTGAGGATTTAGGTGGCCTAAGCATAAATGAAAAGAATGCTCTAGACAAGCTTTCGAAGAAAAGGTTTTTAACGCTATCAATTCTTGTGCTTCAGATAAAAGCCCTGGGCCAGATGGTTTCTCAATGGCTTTTTACCAGAAGTGTTGGAATATTATCAAGCTGGAGATTTTGGGTACCCTCAATCACTCCATAGTAATTGCCACATGGTGAAATCCTTTAATGCTTCTTTTTTGCACGTAACCCCAAAAGAAAAGGTGCAATAGAACTTAAAGATTTTAGGCCTATTAGCCTTATTGGTAGTGTTTACAAGATCCTGGCTAAAGTGCTTGCTGAAAGTCTTATAGAAGGTGATTGGAGGTTGTCTCTGGTTTTCATAATGCCTTTGTTCAAGGAAGGCAGACCTATGATGCAACACTTATTGCTAATGAAGTTTTGGACTGGAAGCAGAAAAGTGGTACCTTTCCTTTCTCAAAAAAAGAAAAGTGGTACCTTTGGTCTTCTTTTTAAGCTTGATATAAAGAAAGCTTTTGATAAGCTAAACCGGTCATCCCTTATCTCAATCCTAAGGCAGATGGAATTTGGAGAAAGGTGCATTAGATCGATCAAATACAGTTTCTCCACAGTAATGTATTCTGTACTAGTAAATAGAAGTTTTGTGGGCTTTTTTCTCCTATGAGAGACATTAGGCAAGGTGATCCCCTATAACCCTTCTCATTTATTCTAGCTATGGAGGTGCTAAGTAGGATGTTAGAAAAGGCCAAACAATTACATTGGCTAGAAGGATTTATGGTGGGCAGTGGTTCTGATCTAACAATCTCTATATCACATCTCTTGTTTGCTGATGACTCACTGATCTTCTGTGAAGTTGAGAAATCCTAAGTGCAATACCTTAATCTCACCCTTATGCTTTTGAGGCCATTAGGACTCCACAATAACATGTCTAAAAGTATCTACCCTGTTAATGAGGTCCCGGACTTGGAGAATTTGGCAGACATCATGTGCTGCTAAATTGGATCTCTTCGCACTACCTATTTGGGGTTGCCACTGGGTGCTAGTTGCAAATTAGTTGGGGGCTTGGAGTGGTATTGTGGAAAAGCTTGAAGGAAGATTGGCTTCCTGGTAACAACAATATCTCTCACTAGGGGGCAGGGTAACACTCATCAATAGTGTCTTGGATAGTATTTCCTCCTATTTTCTGTCCCTCTTCCCTATGCCAGCTAAGGTGCAAAAACATCTTGACAGACAAGATTAGGAGAGACTCCCTCTAGAAAGGTAATAGTAAGGACCACAAATTCCACCTTGTGAAATGAGCCAAAGTCACCATGCCAAAGCAATTTGGAGGCTTAGGGATTAAAGACCTGATATTACATCACAAGTGTATGCTAATGAAGTGACACTGGAGGTATAATCAAGAGACAACTGGTCTGTGGAGGGAGGTGATCCAAGCAAAATTTGGTAGCACTCGTCACTGGTGCTCTAATGAAGTCACAATTCCGTATGGCAAAGGGGTCTTGAAAGCTATTAGGAAGTTGTGGGAGGTCTTCTATCGAAATGCTACTCTCAAGGTGGGAAGTGAGGAGCACATCCAGTTTTGGAAAGACACTTGGTTGGGAAACATCCCTCTTATGAATGTATTTCCAAGAATATTTAAGATTGCCTCCAATCCAGAATCAACCATCTCTCAGTGTTGGGAAGATAATGTTTGGATGTGACTTAAAGGAGAAATCTAAATGACTGGGAATTTGATGAATTTATGGCCCTCATGGCCACCATCCAGATCAACTCAGTCCACAGCCAAAGCAGGGATAGACTCACTTGGGGAAGTAATATGGATGGCTCCTATTTGGTCAAAGAAGGCTACTAATATCTAAGCTCAAGGAAGACACTTATTGATCTGTGGCCCTGGAAACTTATCTAGAAATCTAAGATGCCTCCAAAAGTCATCTGTTTCAGCTGGGTCAGTCTTAATGGTTCTTGCTTAACTCAGGATAATGTCTCACGAGGAGGAAGTTCTGTAGATGGTATAGCCAACAGATGCTACATGTGCTCAACCCATAATCTTTCAATCACTTGTTTCTTCATTGCACTGTTGCCACAGACCTTTGGAACATGTTCTTTTCTCTCTTTGGACTGACTTGGGTCATGCCAAGCTCTTTGAGAGAGGCTTTTGTGTGTTGGAGTTCCTGGAAAGTTGGGAAGACCATCAAAATGATCTGGTCTTCAGTTCCTGCTTGTATTTTGTGGTGCATATGGATAGAGGGGAACAAAAGGTGTTCTGATAGCATCCCAACTCCCATTTCCTCTCTTAAGGCTAGGTGTTTAATTAGTCATTTTAGTTGGGTCAACCACTCCTCTGTAATTAAGGTTGAATCATTCCTAGAATTTATCAGCTCCATAGATCTATGTTGATAATTGTGATAGCTTTTTTTTTTTTGCCTTCGTGGGAGCGGATAATCTCTTTGTAATGCTTGCATCTTCTTGATGCTTTTTGTTAATAATATCCTTCTTATTTCATCGGGAAAAAACAGTCAAGGTCCTACTATTTGTGCCAACCCTGACACCCTAGATCTCTTTCCTTTGCTCTTCCAGCATTTTGCTTACACCCTCCATGTCTAGGATGAACAAAATGAGGGAGTGGATCTCCCTGTCTAATTTCATTATGAGGAGTGAAAAACCCCACTGTCTCTCTATTGACTAGCACCAAGTATCTGACAATTTTGATGCAAAACTTGATCCATCTAACCCATTTGATCCCAAACTCTCCTGATTTCAATCTCCAGCCAAGAACTTCATTGGCTGCTAGGATGTTTAGACCATTAAACGCCTACGCCAAGATCTCAAGTGTTGATTTGGTCTTGAATCCACACTTTGGACCTAGTAAATCTGATACCTGTGTGAGGCTAGTCAACTAGTTGGTGATAGTAATAAAATTTAAGATCATCCCCTTGCCTCAGAATGTGTCTCACGTCCCACGCTTTCCTCAGGGAACCTTATCTTTTTGAAATTCCTTTTATAACCCATGTTACTTCCTATCCCAGACAGTCTATCATTGTCCCAACTCTCTATTTTGGACTCTCACCTTCTAGTCCATGAACTCTCACAAAACTCCACTCAGTTGTACCATGAATTCTCCAGATTTGCCTCTAGCAGAAATCATTTCTTTTCTCATCCACTTCCCTCTATACAAGTCCCAACTGTTCTCTTCACTTTTTTTTTCTCTATGAATAGAGTAGTTGAGAGAGAATTTCATTTTTTATAAAGGACTTTAATAGCCAAGTATATAATTTTTTCTTACCTAATTGGTTGGACTTTAATTGAAACAAGTATATAGTTTTTTCTTACCAAATTGCTTTAGTTACTCCCTCCGTCCCAATTTATGTAGCACCGTTTGACTTGACACAGTTTAAAAAAGGAAGACATTTAAAAATTGTAGTCTAAAACAAACCTTAGATATTTGTGTGACTATAAATCATTTAATTAAAGGTAAAAGGAGAGTTTTAAAGTTGAATTGTTTCTAATTATAGAAAGGTGACATTCATTTTGGGACAAAGTAAAAAGGAAAAGGCTACATAAATTGGGACTAAGGGAGTAGTAGTCTGATTCCTGTATCTATATGAAAATTTTTAAAGCTTTGAAACTCTCGTGAGTTTAAATATTCTGTCCACTTGATGGTACTTATTTCCATTCATTTCTCTGTAGGGGGGCATTCTTTGGTTCCAGAACTTGACCGAGTTCCCTAGTGGTGTTTTAGGGCCAGTCTTTCCTTTACTGATTGCGGGATTGCATTATATCAACATACAGGTATATTGCTTTTATCAACCTTGAGATTTACTGCCTTTCTGTTTCGTTGTTGTCTTTCTTTGTGGTAACTGGTAACAAAGTTTCATTATGGGATTAAGAGACCTGTACCTTATTCTTGGCCTTGGTACTAGATACATTTTCAATTATAATTTCTTTTTCCTTTTCTGTTCGGAGGGGGGACTGTTATCCAATAGTACTTATGTTTAGGAATTTGATCGTCAACATGATCGATTTCGTGCTGGTTAACCATCGCTTTATGTTCAGACATGTTCTCTTGGTGCTCACCTTGCAATTGTTGGTGGGTCTTGGATACTGTTTAATATTTGGGGCAGGCCTGAAGCAAGTAGGAAAAGGGAAAAATATTTCAGTTCTATAGTATGAGATATCTGCATACCGGCATCAATTTTGTTTCTTAATATGTTTTTTCTCCAAAGCTAGTATATGGGTGATAATTCTTCCTTGCCCCTTCATAGTTTTGGGCTTTTTGATATACTGTTGCAAGGAATAATAATTTATTCTTGCATGGTTTTGAACGCTTGAAACCCTTCTCCCAAACAATGATGCCACCAAACATTGAGTCTTGTAATCCCAGATTCCCTCTGGTGCTCAAAACTCCCGAGAACCGAAGATTTAACTGACAGGTGGATCTTCCTGCCGTCTGTATTCAATCAACTAATAAGATCTTCTCCGTAAAATTTGGTCTTCCCAGATGTGGTGTAAAATGTTTTGAAAAGGGAAGACTTCATCTTGGTTTGGATGATTAATGAGCAAAGACTTAAACTGTCTGGAGGACTTGAGTTCAGCAGTTAACCAGATGGGTTAAGAAGTAAAAATTACTTGTGGAGTTGCCTCACCTTATTAAATTATGCTTTCTGCTTTTTTTTTTGTTTTAAAGTCTTGCCCTGTCTCTCCATTTTTCGCATCTTCAAAAAATGGGGTCCTGGAAGTTTCACCAACAAAAAGGTACCACAGAGAGAAAAAGAAGGTGACCCAACTTAGGCATCACTGGTACCCTTTGGATTTTGTGCGTGAGTGCAGGGAGGGTATAAATTCTATCTTTGTGGTGCTGGGTTGGTTTAGGTCTGATGCTGAAACCTGCACAGTGTGACCATATATGCACTGGTTTAGTAATTCTTCAGGTTCTTTGTTAGCTCAAGAAAGGTTTTAGTTTCAGTACTGTCTTCAGGATATTGCTAATTACTTTTAAATGTACACTCTAAAATGACTTGTTGGAGCAGATAGAATCAGATCAGGAAGTGGCAGGTGTGTTTTCTTATGTTTGCTTTGGATAGACTTATTTCAAGTCTATTTAATCAACTTTGACTACCCGACAAGATAGCTTACCTGAACTAGCTTTTGCAATTGTTACGGAAAAAGGTGGATTCTTGAACCAATTGTAAAGGCTACGTGGTAGAGACTAGAGATTATTCTTATATTTTTCTCCCAGTGAAGAAATTCAATTTGTTTTTCCTTTTAATTTTCATTTGGCAGAAAACTTATTTGGCTCCGCAATGACTTTGTTGCATTTTTCCAAATAAAATACAACAATTATGTCTCGGTTCCAAACAAGTTGGGTAAATCATCACTGACCTTGTTCCTATTTAGATTTTTAGATAAAATAAAATGTAAACCTAGATCTTTCATTTCCATCTGCAAATCCCAAATCATATCCTCCAATTCTGTGAGATTTTTTCATGGAAAGGGAAATCTGAAGGATGTTCTATCACTAGGTGATTTCTTCCCATCTGCCTAATTCTTGATTGACATAGTTACCTGGTGTTCCTTCTAAAAAGAAAAGAGTGACCCTGTATTGGTGTTGGTGGGAGGTAGCAAGTACTTTGTGGAATAGTCGAGGTGCGTGCAAGTTGCTTGGACACCATCGCTATCCGGAAAAGAAGAAGAATAATGTTCTCTACCACACTAAGCCTTAACAATTGGTTCAAGAAGCCATCTTTTATAGTCACAGTTGCAAAATCTTTTTTTTTTTTTTTTGAGAATTAGTACTGTTGTATTCCTCAGCATTAGGAATGCTGGCCACCACCAAAAACATGTTAACTGGGGAGTGAGATTCAAATCTAAACTTTACAAAGTACCTAGGAAATCAATCAACTCCTCTACTTCCTTTATACAGTTCTGTTTACACCAAAAACATAAATGGATTTGATCTCGTCTTCAAAGCATTTTCCATTTCTCTCCTTACAAATTGTCCAACATATGCATGAGGGTATTATCCTCCACCATTTTTTCTGACTCATGCTTCCACCTCTTCTAATCCAACAGCTCATCAGATCCGCTGTCTGCTCTGGAATTGTCCATACTGTCTTTGTGAGACTCAAAAACAGATTCCACACTTGATTAGTAAAATTACAATGTAGGAACAGGTGATTATTTGTCTCTCCTGTTTCATTGCACAAAAAACACCTAGTCACCGCTGCTCTCCCCTTCTTTTGTAGTACTTCATGAGTAAGGCATGCCTTCTTAACTACTAGCCAAGTGAAGCAATTCACCTTTGTTGGAGCTATATTCTTCTATACATTCTTCCATATCCTTAGCTCTTCCTCCTGCATAACACTATTCTCCTCCTGTACAAATTTTTAACAGAGAAACTTCCTTCTGTAGTGTGTCTCCACCTTTGCTTGTCAGGTTCCATTGTGGTTCCAGCAAACATTTCCACTTCATTTAGCGAACTAGCCACCCTTTCCACTTCCCAATCATTTAGGTGTCTTCTAAAATTGAGATTCCAGCCATGGTTAGACCAACATTCAGCAACATTTATCTCTGGATTCCTACATAACATCATGAGATCTGGGAATCTGACCTGCAGTGGAGATTCACCTAGCCAATTATCCTTCCAAAACCTGGTTTTGAGGCCATTGTCCACCCTAATCCTAGAGTTCTCCTGCAACTTTGGCCATAGTGCTTTGATTGCCCTCCAAACACCCACCCCATATGTAGTATTTTCCTCATTTGAGCACCAGTGGTTGGTTTGCCCATACTTATGGATAATTGCTTGTTTCCAAAGAGAGGACTCTTCTTCACAAAATCTCCAAAGTCACTTCATCAAAAGGCTACTGTTTTGGGTCTTCAGATTCCTTATTCCTAGTCCTCCTTGGCCTTTGCTAGATTGAGTCACTTCCCATTTTACTACTCCCTCCATTCCATATTAATTGAATTTTTGAGGCATTTTTCATTTTTCAAATTAATTTCTTTTAGAGTGTTCTTTCAATTTTACCCTTCATTTGGATTTTCAATGTGATGACTTCAATAAATTTGACAATAATTAATAAGGGTAAAAATGGAAAACTATGTTCAATTTATGTCTTAATCTACTTTTCTTAAAGGGTGTTAAACACCTCAAAAATTCAATGAATATGGAATGGAAGGGGTAGATTGCAACCCTTTCCTTCTTTATTCCTTCTCCACAAAAAATCCCTTCTTAATCTGTTAAAGTTTTTCCACCACACTGTCTGGGATGAGAAACAAAGACATCCCATAGGTGGACAAGGAATCCAAGACTGAATTAATCAGTGTGACCCTTCCCCTTAAAGATAAGTACTGTGACTTCCATTTGGCTAGTTTCCTTTTAGACTTCTCTATAATTCTATCCCACATCTCTACCTCTTTGAACTCCCTGCCTAAAGGCATGCCTAAGACAAGGCTGAGTATCCACACCACAGTCACAGTTGCAAAATCTAGTTCAAGTAAGCTACATTTTCAGTGTATGAGATAAGACTGGAACAGGGTCCATCTAAAGGCATAATTCAATTTTCATTCCACTCAACTGCCCAAGCCTTTCGGTTTCACCAAAAAAGGATGCAATAGTACAATGGAAAAGATTTATCTGATAGCACCCGTATTTCTTGTGGCTGAGGGTTGTAAAGAATAGAGAAGGTTGACCTGGGGAAATAACAATGTGTTTTTGGAGGATGAGATGGATAAAAGTTCTGATAGTGTGACGTCAAATGCGAAGCGAAAGAGAAAGAATATCACCAATAAAAGGGGCTGGGAATGAGGAAGAAAGATAATCAACCAAAAGATGAAAGGGAAAGAAACAAACGAGGAAAGTGGGAAGAATATTATAAGTAGTTGGCTAATTATTGGTGATGGGATTCAAATAGGAGACTTCACTTAATTGGAAAGTAACTTGTGTGTTTTCGAAATTTGAAAAACATGATATGATGTTAGCTACACCAAATAGTGTTATCTACTCGTGATAAAAAATATAAATAAATAAGAATGAAAAACATCAAGGGGTTACATTTTTTTTTCAGTAAACATCTAGGGGGGTTACATTTAAAAGAAGTTTTTTCTCGAAATTTCTCCTGCCCTTACGCACCAAACGATTTTTACAAACTTTTGTCTCATAAATGGGAAGGGAATATTAGGGAGGGGGGAGGGGGGGAAGAAGTTTCTGTATTCGGGTATATAGTATAATGAGCTTGGTTTAGTTTCTTATGCAAGTGATATTCGAGATGTTTTTTCTCCATGCTTTTTGATAGTGATGATCTCTCTCTTTCTACCAGGTATCCTTTCAGAAATCTTCAGTTGAAAAGATGAGTGGACCCGTGGGATTAATAGCCAAGGTCAGTAATCTGTCAGAAATTTATGTGATATATCCTCATACTTTGATCTAGAAGTGATTTTCGTCATTTTCTGCGTAATAAAGGGACTGAACCAATCTCTATTCAAACTCCATTTGTAGAGGTACATCTTTAACTTATCGATTATCTTATTACCATAGTTATCCGACGAATTTGAGAAAATCTATAAGATTCTAGGGAAAAAGGACAAATATACCTCTGAACTATCGTAAATGGTATGTAGATACCCTCCGTCATACTTTTGGGACATTGGTGCCCCCGCCGCCCAAAAACTAGAGCATATATACCCTTTATACTAACGGACATACACATGTCATAATCTTATCCATCGATCCAACATTTATTAAATATCGGATCGACGGATAAGATTGTGCCATGTGTCCCTATTTAGTCTTCCATTAGAGTGAAGGGCATATATGCTCTAGTTTTTGGACGGTAGGAGCACCTATGTCCCAAAAGTATAACGAAGGGTATCTGCATACCATTTACGATAGTTCGGGGGTATATTTGTCCTATTACCCAAGATTCTATCCTCCTATCCAAAAAGAATGACTAGTTTCGGAGTACGAGTATCAAATCATAGAATTTGTGAAGTGCATTTGGATATCGATTTTTCAATCCTTTGAAATATAATTTAAGTATCTAGAGATATAAATTTTTTTTTTGATAATGTTAACGTATTATTCATCAGCATAAAGGTAGTGCTGGGCCTGGCCACTCTAGAACAGAAAGTAAAAGGCCTATATATTTCACAAGGCTTCCAAAAAGTGTGGTATGGAGTCAGCCTCCTCTATACAAAATTCTTGACACCCAAAATGCAAGTTCAAAATACAATTCATCTTTCATTTTTGGATTAGCAGTTTGAAATCCTTTTGCCTTATTAACCTCTTCCATTGGAATAATTTATCCCCTGTTAATGATATATTACCCCTCTTAGATTTCATTAGCTTCGTCAATAAGGCTCAGTGACCATTCTTTTGGCTTTTGCTTGTGGCTAACTCCCTGATTAGATAGGTGTTTTTGTTCTCAGGAGTTAACCATGTTTTTGTGTATGTAACTTGCATCTCCTTGATGCCTTTCAAATACAGCATCTTACTTCATCAAAAATAAAAAAATCTTTGTTAAGATATTAATAAATCAAATCTGATGTCCACGAACGTATGAGATGTTATGGAAAAACTCTCAAATTTAGGCTCATAAACCTTCAACACAGAACAAAGGACAACTTTAAACACACAGGGTGTACATCTTTAAACCCCCTTACTCTAAATTCTGGAATCCCCTCAAGAAACTAGTGATCATTAGCTATGATGCTCGAACTCTTCAAAAATGTCGACGAGTGCGTGTTGGATCCTTCAAAAGTAGTGCATTTTTTAAAGATCCGCATGGGTGTGGCATCATTTTTGGAGAGTCCGAGCAACATAGATCATTAGTATGTTATCAATAGTTTTCTGTTTTCCTGATGATAACTTTGAGATGTAAGTCTTAACACTTTTGCTTTTTTTTTTTTTTTGGTTACAGTACTACCAGAAGTACTTGGGAGTCCTGACGTTAGTGATTTTATTTGTTACGTTCAATATGCCCCAGGTAATCAACCATTTGATTCCAACAAAATATGTGCTGTAGGATTTGTCCATTTTTATGTTTAAAGTTGGCATCCCATGTTTGCCTTTATTATTTTGAGCTTTGTGGTCCAATTTTAAGTTAACTTGAAGAAGGAAACTGGCTTTTGATCTTTGAACTGTTTATGTTGGTTTCCCTGGTTTATGTCCTGTTAATTTATTGGTCTCAACAATAGCTGGAGTCATTGTTTTCTTGAAAGTTGTTAATGGTGGCACACTTTTGACTTGTGTGTCCATTCTTTGTGACCCCTTTTTATCTTAAAATTGTTTTCTCAATTTAAGAAAAAAAGGGTTTATGGTATTGTAAATATACTGTTTTTTCAGCTATGAATTGGAATAGTCGGGATGTTCTTGCTTTTCTAGGTGGTTTGCATCATGTCTAGCTTGAATATGTCTACTTAGGCTTTCTGGCACTGTATGAGATTTTTGTCATTGTAATTTGCAGCTCTATGGGCCTATCTCTTGCTCTTATAAAGTTAACAGACTCAAACCATATTATAATTGGATGGATTGCAAGTAGTATATCATGATTTAATGTTTTTGTTTGATAGGGTTAGTTTCTCTTGTGAGCTGTTCTCTTTTTTTGTAGCCTCAGAGATGGATTGTACTAGGTATAAGACATGCAATTAATGTAATTGATATCGTGATGAACTAGTGGTACATCTAATGGTTGTTTGAAATTGGTGAAAGCAGAGGCTTTGGAAGTTAGTGAGTTTCCAATTGAAATATGACCTGACGAGACTACCCCAATAGTACAATATAAAATGGTAGCAGTGGTGGGCTGATCACATACAAATAGTAGCGCCTACAGATTTTGAAGTTGATGATGGATGGAGCAACTTGATTTAGTTGTCTGTCAGGCTTATGTGAAAGAATGGTAGCAGTGGTGGACTGATAACATACAAATAGATATTAACATTGATAGGTCACTAATTTTTTCTTTAATATTCTTAAAATTTTCGGTGTTGGGTTGGAGAGGGGGTTGAAAAATAAAATAATTGCATTGTCTTTCTGACTCATTCGCTTGCCCTTCTATCTTGATATATCTGACAAAGGATTGTGTGCATGACATTAAGTTTTTGTTTATTTTTCTATTTTTCAGGGGAGTTTAGTGTTTTGGCTTACCAATAGTTCGATGACTGTTATTCAGGTATCTCTTCTGAAGTATTCTTCCTAAGGCTCCTCATCCTAACTTTATTTCTTGCTTGACTGGGCATGCGGATAAATGCTGAAGTAGGAAGTTTTTGTAACCTCTCGTGTTATGCATTAGATGCCAAGAGGTCTTATTGCACAAAAGGCATTAAGTTTCAAATTTGCTTTTTACTCCTCCTAACGTGGAAAGAGAGCATGATAGATGAACTACTAGATAATGAAGATAGAAATTTTTCTTCAAACTTCCCTTGGAAAATGTCTATGATCTCCTCTTTTTCTTACTTCCGCTCCCTCTAGACACAGTCTGTCTAGCAAATCGTACATAGCTGGCATTCTCTTTTGTAAATTTTTCCTTGTCCAATAGAGGTGGTTAAAAAATGTTGCTTCTTAAGGTTGCACTTTGCACGTCCTCATGAATCAATGGGTGTGGTGAATATTGGAAAGAAATAATTTCTAAGAACTCATTACCTTTTTATATACAGCAACTATCTCTAAAGCATCCAGATGTTCGCAAGAAACTGGGGCTACCTCAGAAGGATCCTCAATTAGAAGGTGCACATCCGAAAGAGTTGGTTAATCCTGGAGAAATCAAAATAGATCCATCAAAAAATCAGAGCAAAATATCTGTCCAGAACCTATCACCTCAAGAATTGGTTAATGTTAGTAACTATTTTTTTTTCCTGATATTGAGACTTGAAATGTTGAGTTTTTTTTGCTGCTTTCTAAATCTTTGTTTGTTGAAACCTCATCAGCTTTCGATCAAACACTTAGCAGGAGGACGTAAAGATGAAGCTATGTCCTTTCTACGGTATTTCTCTCCGCTAATAAAAGCAATCCTCACCGCCTCATTTCTTTTCTTTTCTTCTCTGTAACATCCTCTTTTTAATATATGTGTTACAGACTTGCTATTGCCAAGGATCCCGAGAATGTTCGAGCTTTGCTTATTATTGGCCAGACACTGTTGCAAGATGGTTCCTTACCAGAAGCTACTGAATACTTGGAACGTACTATTGCTAAGGTTTGAGTTTGAAGTCTTACTGATCTTCTTGATGAAGAATATCAATTTGCTTTCGTGGACTAAGAATTTCCTGAACGTTATTAATTTCAGTTCATGGAATGGGTGACTGAACTTGGGAAAGTCAAAATCGGTTTTTCTATATTTGGGACCTTTTAAAGTTTATGCACTATGCAGTTTACTCTGCAGAAAACTTCATTTTTTTAAGTGAACTTAACTTGGCTGCTATAATCCAGCAGAGTTGATTTGTTACTGATCAAAGTCAATTTCTGCAAGTTCAGCTTCTGCTAAAGGAGAATCAAAAGGAAATTGAGGATGTTGATCTGCTGATTCTATCATCTCAATGGGCAGGTGTTGCCTGTATACTGCAGGTAATGGTGTTTTGAGAACTTGGCTTGATGATTGACTTATAAATACAACTACTATGCTTCGATCCTGATCAAATTGGGATCGGCTATATGAATTCTCATTGACCACTCCATTCAAGTTCATCTCAGACATCATATTTACTTGACATAAATCAATAATAATTCTAGTCACAGATATTGAGTACCTTGCATCATTTACCTGATTCCATGACATGGCGGACTGACGACAATAGAGAACCCATGCATATAGGGGGTTCTATTGTGGTATAATTTTAAATGGATTTTCAGATGAGAAGGTTTCTATACAAAATTTCCCTCTTCCTTTTCCTCTGGGGTTGTAGTTGCTAGAAGTTTCATCTTAGTTCTCTTTTCTATTCAAATGTTTGTGAAATTCCTCAGAATCTACAGTATGTTTGAAGTATGATTACCTTGAAATTCCTCAATCCTTCATCTTCCATTTTTATATATGTCACGACCCGAGTCTACACCCTGGACGTGGCCGGCACTCAAGAATCATTGTTGGTCCCCAAGCGAACCCTGACTACAAGCGGAAGACTAACTCAAGCATGCAAAAGCTTAAAACTGAATTAAATTCATTGAACACCAATAGTGAACTTTAAGAAAGTTTGAACAATACTCAAAAGAAAGTAATTATAGAAAACTCTTCCACTTTGTCTATCTATGAAGCCTCTACTATTATAGAAAGATATTGGGACAAGACCCATGACATCTCAAAACTACTAATTGTAAGGTAAAGGTAAAATCCTCCGGAATATAAGAAGGCTCACCAAAGCTGACTAGAATATCACATGACCTCAACGAAACGCCCGTTGATGATCCTGAATACCTGTATCTGCATCATGAAACGATGCAGGCCAACTGACTCAGTACGTGGAATGTACGAGCATGTAAGGGAATTCTAAAGCATAAATATAAGCTTGAACTTGATAAAAAGGAACATACTTACTTCTTATCAACTTACTCAACTCAACTCAAAGAAACATGGTTCAACTCGACTCAGAGAAAATAAGACTCAACTCAATAAGGAGATATTCAACTCAGTTAAAGAAGGAACAACTCAATAATAAGATACTCGAATCTGGATTCTCAACTCAATATAAAACAACAATTAAAGATGCAATATATGGAAAGCTTTTAAAACAGTAGAAAGCAACTCAATTTATTTAAGAATACAATAATAACTAAGTTTGTATGCAAGGATACAAAATAACTCTGTTTGTAAATGAAAATACAAAATAAACTCTGTGTATATAAGAATACAAAATATCTCTGTGGGAGTTTCTCTAACTGACAATCATCACTATGAGCTATGTGATGATACAACGTCTCACCCACGCTGCCAGAACTGTCCTATACTTTGCCAGGGGTATAAGACCTACTACTAAGTGGATCCATTAGTCTATGCTAAAAAACATTAAGGAATCATCTAAAAAGTATGACCCTTTCTACCCACGTTGGCTACATGGTTTATGGGGGCTGTGAGTTGTCTGAACTCTCCCCAATATTGGTGCTCAATACTACTCCCAAAATATAACTAGCTCATATGTTTAAAAACATAACTCTTTCTGTGTTTTGAGATTATTACTCAAAAATCTTTCTCTTAAAAGAGATGGTACTCAAACTGCTCAAAACTCTTTTGGAAATCTCAGTCTCCTCTCATCTTAAATGTAAAAACATTTACTCTTGGGAATACTTAGTTCCCATATATCATTTTAAAGAAAATGAACTCAACTCTACTCTTCCTCAACTCAGTGCTCAAGTCTTTAAAACAAGTGATAAAACAATTTGTAAAAAATCTTCTTAAAATATGGTTTATCCCGAATTATGGACGTGAACGACTCAATTCAAGGTTTTCAATAACCATGCATATAACTCAATACTTGGAACTCAAGAACTCAAGGAGTCGATGATACTACTCATCTCAAGAATGCTCAACTCGGAGGTTTCATGCGGAATTATGGGCATGAACTACTTAACTCAAGGTCTCAATGATACCTCTCATCTCAAGACTGCTCGACTCATAGGGTTCATGCGGAATTATGGGCATGAACTACTCAACTCAAGGACCTTCATGGGTAACATGTAGTAGCCCCATGATTAGGAATATATCCCAAAATGATTAGGAACTCAATACTCCAGACTTAGAACTTGAAGTTACTACTCCTCTTAAAGATACTCAAATGATGGAGTTCATGTGGGATTTATGGGCATGAACGACTCGTCTCAAGGGTCTAAATAACAATATGGAACTCATGTATACGACTCTTCTCATTCTCATACTTACTTCCTCAAAACTCAGTTTAAAACTCAAGTGTTTGCTTTGAAAAACTTCTCAAGATTTATAACTCAAAATAGGGTTCATGCTGAATTATAGACATGAACAAATCAACTCAAGGATCTCAATAAAAATATGGAAACTCAATAATTAGAAATAGAATTTTTAAAAGAACCATGAACTCAAGAACTCAAATCAAATTATCTCAAGAATACTCAAATTTAGGGGGTAGAATCCTAGATTCCTCTTTTATTGATTTGAAAGAAGATATAGGGCGTGAGGACGAACTAGTCCAACACTATGATAACCTTACATACTTGAAAAAAACAAGGTTCTTAAAGAATCTTGAAGAAGAACTTGATTAGAAGTCTTGAAACCCTAGCTTGAAGGTAAACAATCAAGAAAACCTTTCTTGAGATTCTTGAATTAATTTCTTGAAATCTCTAAGGCTAAGATTTATGATTTTCATTAGTGATTCATAATTGTATGGAGGAACTTGAGTTGGAAATAATGGAATTCTTGAAGAAAATCTTTCCTTGAAGAAGAATCTTGAAAAAGATGGAAAGAATCTTGAATGGAGTCTTCTACTTCGATTTTTCCTTAGAGTTTTACCCTAGGGTTTGAGAGAAGAGAATGATGGACTAAAAGATGAAAATCTGATTGTTTTGAGCCTTTTATTAATCAATAAATTCGTTTAGGGTTTTCTTGGAGGTAAAAAAACAAAAACAACCCTTTTTAATGTTTTTCCGTCAGCTAAATTCGTAACAACACTGTATAGGTTACTAAAATAGTCATAACTTTTTACTCAGAAATTGGATTGACACGAAATTGATGGCGTTCGAAAGTAGATTCAAATACCTTTAATTTAATAGGTTATGACTCACGTAACTCTTTCTTTATATTCTAAGAGATATGGTCGTTTGAGGTTGACCCAAGTAGAATTTTATATCAAAACTTAATTGATAAAGAAACTTCAAGAACACTTATCAAGAACTCATCAAGAAATTAAATTGCTCAATATTTATGGATAGATTCGCAAAAGAAACTCATGATTGGTGTGTGGGTGAATGAACCCAACACTATGGAAGCTTACGTAACTCTTAGGGATTAAACCCATGGCGAAAATCCGCAATAAAACTCAAGAACCTCGACGAACGCTTTGATCCTCTCCTCTTTTCTCTTCTTGAACTCTCAACTAAAACCCTAGGCATATATTAGGATTATAAAACTGAACCTAATCGGATTAGACCCTTAAAACCTTACTAAAAACGAATTAAATTTGATTGGGTAAGGAAAAGACCAAAATACCCCTTACTATTTTCGGGTAACTTTCCTTAACTAGACAACTTGACTTCAAAAAGGCATATCTCATTCATCCGACCTCGAAACTTAGCAAACTCGATGGCGTTGGAAAGATAATTCAAAGACCTTTCATTTTCCATCTCATGGCACACCTAACTCATCCTGTACTGAGAGTTATGGTCGTTTGAAGTTGACTCAAAACTCATAACTTAAGCATAACTTACAAAATTTCAGATTTTGCTATTTCCAATTTAGTTCTTTTTGGAACTCAAGGTGCTGCATCTAGTGACTTGACCTTCATACTTGAGAAATTTTAAATTCCTTGGTAAAATCCTACTCACAACAAAGGATGGTTCGAGTCTTAGTTCAAAAATTTTCTGGGTGTTACAATATACTCTCTCCGTTTCAATTTGCTTGTCCTACTTTTCTTTTTAGTCCGTTTCAAAAAGTATGCCTCTTTCCTTTTTGGCAACTCTTTAATTTCAACTTTCCACATGACATGTTTAAGACCACAAGATTAAAGGAGATTTTGGTTCATTTGATATATCTTTAATTTAAGACCACAAGATTCAAAAGTCTTCTTTACTTTTTTATACTCCATGCCAAGTCAAAATAGGACAAACAAATTGAAACGGAGGGAATATGTTTTATTCTTATAGACCCACATGCCCCTAAAGGCCTGCTGATGCCTGATTGCTGCTCTTCTATATAATGATAGTGAGGATTCAACCTGGCCTCCCCCAATACCTAGCTTCTCTTCCCCCTCTCCTCTCCATATTCTAGACAAACTGATTACTGTTCCTCCCTGTATTTCTGCCTTGTCCATTTATTGAAGGAAATCCTAGCCATTGCATGTTCTCTCTTTACTTTTTTCACTATTTCTAAATTAGCTAAACTTCAGCACAATAAGTATGGTAGATTTGTTTTGGTTATGATGAATGATCAAACTAGATCAGTGATTATTATCCCTGAAAATAAGCCTAACGAGGGGTGGTTCGGACTTGTAAGCCGCATTGCAAGCTTCATAAACAGGGGGTCTTTAATGCAAGTTACTAGCCCAGTCTTAGGTTATTTAAACCGAAAACTGCCTTCTTCTGATGGGGAAGTAAAAGAATTGGAGTAGTAATCAGATGAAAATGGATCAAAAGTTGCTCATTGTGACGGAGAAGTTCATGTCTAATACAAGTAGCAATATTAGCTCAGCTCAATTTGTCTAACTTTTAGACTAGTTTCTGCTTGAAGATCATCAAAAGCTAATGAGTGGATGTACGTCTTTGTAAAGAATTTGAGGCATATATATATAACTCTCAGATATGGGCTGTTAGCTTGTGATGATGTTGAAACATATTGTCTATAGATATGGGCTATCAACTTACCGAGTAATTTAGTTTTGCAGATATCATGTAATAAAACATTTTTATCTTGTTCAATGAAAGTCAGAGATAAATTGTTCACTTTACTCTCCTTGGTATATTTATCTAAGCGCGAATTCAAATTAGTCCTTGGCTCTCTTCTTAGACCAATCCTTGAAGGGAGAAGGAAGATACAAGGAAGCAGTCCACAAGAATAGGTGGAAACGCTAAGAACCTATTATAGTTCCGGAACAGAAGACATTAATGGTTTCCCCTCATTTTGATGATAAAGTTCTACTGTAGAGATGATTCATAGTGAGTTTTCCCGACTGTGATGATTCCCATAAGAAAAGATGTGAGGAGCTGGCCTCAACTTACATCGAAAGGTGTCTTCTACTTACAGATGTTTGATATGAATAAGTGGAATTGTATTATAAACTTTTATTTTTAGTGTAAGGAAGCAAATGTAGAGGAAGCTGATCAGTTGAGTCTTTTTAGGGTCTCTGTAATTAGTTCGTACTAGCCCACAGTTTGTTCATAAGTTTTTGGAGGTCTCCAGCATTAAGAATTCTGAAGAATACCGGTTCTCAAAATCTTTTTTAGCTAAACCTCACTCCCTTTCTTTCCTCATCTCACTTGTTGGACTCAAATTGAGATTGAATCAAGCAAATTATATGAAGGTGGGTTGGTTGTCGGCTGATTTCTCAGAGCCTGGAGTTTGTGTGGATGGTGGATGAAGCGGAAAGGATACCGACACCTCCAGATAATTGCCGGACAATACTATTTAAGGATTCTAGACATGTTTATGCCCTCTAAATATGATGACTGTCTAAGTTGCTCTCTCAGCAGAGCTTAGTTGGACCCAAATTCTATTTTCCTTGTGGTGTTATGAGCTTGACTTGCCATATTTTTGGGCTTGGTCAGTGGCAGATACTCAAGGCCTCTCCTTTCTTGAGCCAAGCCTAAAATCTAGGATAGTTCGTGTCGTAGTTATATACTGGAAGTAGGTTCCTCATAGTGATATTGCACCATTCCTGTTCCTTTACAGGGTAAGATGGGAGAGGGACTTGCACACCTGGAACGCATAGCCACGTTGAAAGAGCCAGATGACCCAAAGAGCAAGGCCCATTACTATGACGGATTAGTACTACTGTCAAGGTAAAAGTTTGTTTTAATTCTTGATACATGGTTTATTTTCGAAAAACAAGTTCTAGAAGACCTTGTTTATTCCAATTCTACAATTGATTAAAGTGGTACATGATTATTTTCCAGTACATTGATCAATGCTGGCCGCAAGAAGGATGCGATTAATTATCTGCAAATGGCTACTGCTTATGACGAGTCTTACAGAGAATTTCTGCAACAATGCGAAAATGAAGAGGATGTTATCAGTAACGACCTTGCCACTAGGAGGAGAAGAGATTAAGGGTGTGTTTGGTATGAAGGTGTTTTCCAATTTTCGCATGTTTGGTTGGGTTAAATGTTTTGGAAAATGTTTTCCAAATCAACTCATTTTCCTCAAATTTAAGGAAAATGACTTCCCTTCAAAACTTAAGGAAAACATTTTCCAAAACTCTCTTCCAACTTCCAATTTAAAAAAAAATTGTTGAAAAAATCAATTTATTTTGTCCCTACCCTCAAACCAGCCCCCCAACCAACCCCCCCTCCCAATAATTTAAAGCTTGTTTTTAAATTCAATTTTTTTACCCACCCTCACGCACCTCCTACCCAGCCCCCACCCACCCCACCCCTACCATCCCCCCCAAAAAAAATATTTTAAGTTTGTTTATAAAAAATATTTTCAACTTCAAAATTTCATTTTTTCACGCTACCCTTGACCCCCCGCCCCCCCACCCACCTCTTACCCAGCCCCCCACTCCCCAAAAAAAATAATTTAAGTTTGTTTTTAAAAATATTTTCGATTTCAAAATTTCATTTTTTCACCCCTACCCTCGACGGAAAAAATACCGTATATACAAGTAAAATGATACACGAAATGATTAAATAACATATTTTGGACACCCTTAACATGACAAATTGTTATAGCTTAGTGGTTTCACTTCCTTGGAATGAGGAAGTGCTCGTGTGTTTGAATCACACTAGTTCAACTTTGAAATGAGCTTTTGTTGTGCTATTTCTGAACACTCTTTGTGAAATTCCTGGCTCCGCCACTACACTACGTAGGCTATAGCATATGAAATATTGTCAATTTTTTTTGTGTTTTATTATGATCATTAGAAAATAATTAGGTTAATATTTCTATTTAGCTATTTATACTTTTACTTGAAGTCAAACTTAATAAATATATAAAGATAATTTTATTTGTGGATTTGATTAACAAGTAGTAACACAAACACCATGTAATATTGTCTTATCGATATTTATGATAATATTTTTAAATTATAATTTGATTTAATTTTTTTTTAAAAATATATACTTTTTAAAATGTAGGCTGACCCAGCATAGCCCGTAGTCCATGTACTTGTTGGTTGGGCTGACTATTTTTTTGCCCACAAAAAAATGGGCCAACTCGACCTCACCCGTCAAATTTTACAGACGGTATGGATTAGTCCGGATGGGTGGGCTTGTTCGCAATAAATTTTTGTAAGTGCTGAATTAATTGCAAGCAAAATAAATAAAAGAAAATGTGATTTTTATTGATGAATCTTGTGAGTACAATTCGGTTGTTCTCTTGATTCTTCTCTCCTAATATTTCTCTGTGATTCTAGGGCCTTCAGTAGCGAATTTCTCGAATATAGGATGATGTAGACCTATTTCAGATGTATTTGAGTTCCGAGAACTTCGGGAAGCACTTCGTCATTTCAAGTCGATCTCTGGGAAGAACTCTGTTGACCACTCCTTCGAAGAGCTATGTAGTTGGTGTTGTAGCTTTCTCCAATCTTTGCAAAATTCTTGTTGAAGTCTTCTTAGAATCTCATGTCATGTCCATCCCCTATTTATAGTTGTAGGGAGTGGACAAGGTTCCTTGTGATTGACCAAAGAATGTCATTTTGACACTTGGCAGATTGTGATTGGTTCTTGCATTAGACTGGGACTACCACCTCATTTGGACACATGGCGTCACCTTGATGGTCTTGGATGCCTAGTCACTGTGACATGTGGCATGGGTTTGGGTTTCAAGGTGAAATTGACCTTGGACTTGAATTTAATAGAAATTGACTTATTTATTTGTAAAACCCAAATTAATCATTCAACCCAAATAAACATGAATTTAATCCAAATTTTGTATGAATTAAATCCAATAAAATTTGTGTGTCTACAGATATCCCCTACGTCAAGCCTTGTTGAAGTGTAGGTTTGCCGACACTTGATTGTGAGACTTGAAGTATTATGAATCCAACAATATCATTCTTAAGACATTTGCTTGACTCGGTTTCTTGCGACGAAACAAGTTGCGTAGTACGGTCATCTGCAACCCCATTGTGATGTGCTCCTAAGTACTTTTATTATTTCAATCCACTCAAAGGACGATATGGAGGACTCTCTCGAGAGGGATAAACAAATCAATGTGACAAAGTTGTATGAATTTTAAATTCAAAAAAAAAAAACATCCATCATAGACTTGAATACAAGTTTGGACATCAACACTTAGAGCGCCACATAAGTCCCCCAAGTTGAATTTTAAATAAAATAAAAACATAGCTTGATTTACACCTTTTTTTGCAAATCTTCAACTTGGAAATAATTGGTAATTTAACAATTACACCAACTTTCTTTCATTTTCTTGATTTTTAAAGAATCACTCTTCCAATCTTAAGCATTATTGCTTTCCTTTTGAGTGTTAAGCATCTTCCATTTAGATGCGGAAGAATTGATTTGATTTGTTTCTTCCTATCTTACCACAACTTTCCTTGTAAAAAGAATGAGAATTATTCATAGAACCTCTATATAAACATCTTTCATGTACAGAATATTTTTGAAGTACAACTCCAAATTTGGTGTGTTCTTTCTATATTTCATGCAGTGCTGTCAAAATGTCCTTTTCTTGGTGTAGGAGCATTCAAACGATGAGTGTCTTGATCCTGGAGAAACTAGACTTTTAGTACTACGACATGTCCAAAAATCAACATAAAAAATCTTTCGTATTGACGGGAATTGATTTTTGAAGTTGGTCTCTAAATCTGGAAGTTCTCCTCACAGATGCGCAATCTCACTAAAACGTCATTTTCTTGGTGTAGGAACATTCAAATGACAATCGGCTTGATTCTGGAGAAACTAAACTTTTAGTACTACAACATATCTAAAAATCAACATAAAAAACCTTTCATATTGACGGAAATTGATTTTTGAAGTTGGTCTCCAAATCTGAAATTATCCTCACAGTTATGCACAATCTCGCTAAAACGTCCTTTTCTTGGTGTAGAAGCATTCAAACGACGAGCGGTTTGATTTTGGAAAAACTCGACTTTTAGTACTACAACATATCCAAAAATCAACGTCAAAAACATTTCTTATTGACGGAAATTGATTTTTGAAGTTGGTCTCCAAATCTGAAAGATTTCCTCACAATTATGAGAAATCTCGCTAAAACGTCCTTTTCTTGGTGTAGGAGCATTTAAATGATGAGAAGCTTGATTCTGGAGAAACTAGACTCTTAGTACTACAACATATCTAAAAAATAACGTAAAACCTCTTTCATATTGACAAGAATTGATTTTTGAAATAGTCCCCAAATCTGGAAGTTCTCCTCACAATTATGGTCAGTCTGAAGCAATATCCACAATGAAGCATGCATTGTGTTTTTTTGGCAATACGACATACTTTTGATTTGAACCTTCATGTTATTGAGGCCGACCAAGCGCTCAATCTTGTAGAATCGAGAAGCTTCGGCAGTTACTACCATGTGCTTCATCACTTTTTTTAATAGGTTCACAAAGGAGCGCAAACAATCTCGATATCTTATCAACAAGATATAAATAATTCCCTTAATTGGAAAGGAACACTTGATGTACCTACACTTTCGATTGGAAAGGATTTGACAAATAATCATTTGGTGCTTCACCTTAAACCTTCATTGCGGAGTTGGTTGAGACAATCAGCTGCTTTAGCTTTCATTGGAGACTTGGAGAGAGAACAGTTGGAGAATCCACCTTTCTTACGGCGTTGGCGGAATCAACTTGTCACTTTGAAGTCAGCTCACAAGTTTATCTTGCTTGATTCTTTTGCTTTGCGCATCCATAGTAGAAAATTCATAACTCAAAGTAGGAGTGTTGAAATCACGAGTTTCTTATTTCGTTGGAAAGATGATTCAAAGAAGTACATTATATGTAAATATCACGGTCAAAGACTTTATGGATTGATACAAATATTACTTCGAAGTCAGCTCACAATTCTGTCTTACTTGGATCTTCAGCTTCGCACGTCTGTAGTAGATAATTCATAACTCGAAGTAGGAGTACTGTAATCATGAGTTTCTTTTTCCATTAAAAAGAGGACTCAAATAACTATTATAGGTGTAAAAACCATGGTGAAAGACTTTAAAGATTGGTACGAATGTTGCTCCGAAATCAGCTCACAATTCTGCCTTGCTTAGTTCTTCAGTTTTAATTGTGCGTCTGTGGCAAAGAAAATCATAACTCGAAGTAGGAGTTCCTGAATCACAAGCTTCTTATTTTGTTGTGGAGAGGGATTCAAGAACTACCGTATGTGTAAAAATCATGGTCAAAACCTTTACGGATTTTCATAAATATGTCTTTGAAGTCTGCTCAGATTAATTTCAAAATATGATGGTCTATTTCACAACTTTGAGCAGCCGTGGTAGAAACTTCATAACTTGGCGTAGAAGCCTCTGAATCAAGAGACGATTTTCTTTATGAAGTGGACTCTAAGAACTGCAATATATATAAAAATCATGATCAAAACCTTTACAAATTTTTACAAATATGTCTTTGAAGTTAGCTAAGACTCTGCCTTGCTTAACTCTTCTCCATTGCTCATATGTAGCACATTTGAACTCACGTGCTAGCTATATAATTCTAAAGAACTAGTGTGATAATCACACAATGCCATAAAACCTTCTTATTTTACTCATGCGACTGAGCTTAAAGTGATTACTCCAAACGCCTATGTACCTCGGTGAGGAGGGTCAAGTCATATCGTAGTTCAAGATGATGAGTTTCTTTTTTTAGGCCGTACATAGGTTATACTCTTGCGGGCAAGGAGTAACATGCATTTTATGCTCGTACCTTCAGGAGCATTGTAACTTGCAGTTTAGGATCGTACGTCGAGGAGCATTTCAACTTGCAGTTTACGCTCGTGCGTTGAGGAGCGTTTCAACTTACAGTTTAGGCTCGTATTTCGAGGAGTGTTTCAACTTGCAACTTAGGCTCATATGTCGAGGAGCATTGTAACTTGCAGTTTAGACTCGTGCATCGAGGAGCATTTCAACTTGTAGTTTATGCTTGT